TACTGGCTCAAAAATATTCTCCTAAAACATTCTTTTCCTAGAATCTTTATTGTTCTAACTTTTAACTTTCACATTTAGATTTATAATCCAACTGAAGATGGTTTGGGGGTATAGTTTGAGTTGAGTCAAGATTCTTTTTTTTTTCCAGTGGATATCCAATTGACCCAGCATCATTTTTTTTTGAAGGGGGGCGCGGATACCTCTCCCCACCACTCCGCAGTACTACTTTTTTCATTAATCAAATGTTCAAATATGTTTGGATTTGTTTCTGGATCCTCTATTCTACTTTACTGATCTATGTGTCTATCCTTATGCCAATACCATACTGCCTTAAATAAGAGTCTTATAATAAGTCTTGGCATCTGGTAGTATAAATCCCCCAACTTTGTCTTTCTCCTCTAAGGCTGTTTTGACCATTTTTGGTCCCTGGGATTTCCATATTAATTTTAGAATCAACTTGAAGTTAACACACACACACACACACACACACACACACGCACGCACGCACGCACACAGCTGAGATTTTTATTGGGATTCTACTGAATCTATCAATCAATTTGGAAGAGAACTGACATCCTTACAAAACTGAGACTTTAAATCCATAGCATTCTTGGTTTAGGGTTCTTAAAATTTCTCTAAGCAAACTTTTATAGTTTTATATGCAAAAGTTTTGTATATAATTTGTTATATTTATACCAGGTATTTTAAAAGTTTATGTTATTTTAAGTGGTGTTAATAATTTATTTTCTAATGCTTTCAATTGGTATATAAAAATATAATTGGTTTTTGTATATTGAACTTGCATTCATCAATCTTGCTAAATTCAATTATTAACTTTAATATCTCATCTGTGGTGTTTTGAATTTTCTAGGCACATCATCATGTCATCTTACTCTTAAATTCTACCTTTTAATCATTTGACTTTTTTCTCTTTTAGTTTGTTAACAGAGTAAATTACATCAATTGATTTTTGAGAATTCCATAGACAAACAAAACAAAAACATGGGCATAAATCATTAACCCAGTGAACTCTTTCAACATATATTTATTTACCATCTCCTATGCACCAGACACATTGCTGGGTGTCAAGGATATAAAAATGGATTCAAATAGTTATGACCCTTGAGGTACTCATGGTCTAGTAAAGATAGAAACAGTTAAGATAAAATAAGTGTCCAAGTAAAGAATGTTCAAAACACTATAGAAAAGCCAGCAACTGACTGTTCAGAGAAATCAGGAGCAGCTTCAGATCTTTAAAAGTAGGTGTTCAAAGACGAAGATGACAATGATGATGATAAGCGAACATTTTCTGGATGTTCGTTTCATATCAGGTGCCCTGTTCAGTGCTTTCACATGTGTTATCTCATATACTTATTAAAACAACCCTATGAGGTAAGTACTGTTAACATCTTCCTTTAACATATAAGAGATTAACTACCTTGAAAGTGTAGAGACTGGTTCAAAGGAAACCAGACAATGACAAACACATCCATCAAAATTATCTTCCAAGAGAATAAAGTAGTTTTCTTCTTCTCCCTAAGGATAACGTCTGAATTACAGCAATGCTAGTGAGCCTTAAGAAAAGAAAGTCGATTTTAGAGAGGTCTGAGAGGGATACTCTACAGACTTGGGCAAGCCCACTAGAATGGTTGGGTCTGTTGTGTTTTTCTGAGGGTCATACTCAATTGTTGGTGGTCTTAAACCAGCACTGAGCGGTAGACACACTTGCTTCTGCCAACTGTGGGGCAACAATAGGACTTACCTAATTTCTCCTAGGAAATCTGAAGCAGCTAGGG